TTCTTCACATGAAAAAAATCTAAATAATTTTAGTCTTGATAATAAATACTTCGTCCTCAAAACCTAACAGTATAGTTTTGTTATTTTTAAAAGGACTCTGAAAGATTTTATCTTTGAAATATAATAATTGTAGTTTATGTGTCCTTCTTTGCATCCGACTATGAATTTAAGGTTTAATTTGAAAAATACTTCCTCAGATATATATTATAAGTAATCAAAATTTGCCTGGTTCTTTGGTCTTTTTTTGTACAAAGACATTATTGCAGATGACGGACCACAGCCGACGAAGTTCGCCGCACGACAGACAGCTATATTTTACGCAAGAGAGAAAAAAAACTGCAATGTAATAAGCCTACATTAGATCACAAAGTAACTACGCGTATAGAAGATGTTTTCTCATTCTTAATGTAATCCGTGATACTGTGATTGTGGTCGTCTGTTGCAATGGCAACAAATATCTTCATTATTAGAAAGTGTATCTTAATTTCTTCATAGATAAACGCTTAGTGCTAAAATGTTAAGCGATGTCATCATTTTGTCACAAACATCTGAGTTTACATAGAATAATAAGAGACCATTTTACGATTAATTAAAGATGAGAAAGTCTAAACTGTCGTTATAGTGAAAGCAAATTTTTAAGACGAAAATCAAATTCGAACAGTCATTCTTGTTGAAGTGTGGAATTTCAGTTATAAATTTCCATTGGCGAAATATTCCACGATTTTCATCTCACTTCATTTTGTCTCCAATTAATGCTTTCTGTCGAACGCTTTTGTCCTTTTTGCTGTTTTGCCTTCTATAAAAGGGACGTCGTCAATAAGTGTGAAATGTTTAAAGTTTTATATTACTGCATTCTACATTATCCTAAAGCAAACCGTTCATACACCCTTAATGTGATTCCATTGCAATTTCGTTTTTGTACAAATTTGGAGGACCTTCTTTGCACAAAAATGAGCACCAAATCCCTAACCCAAACAATATGTCCGAGTAATTTCCGCGTGTCATGGCCATTTTTGTTAGTCGCGACTTGTTCTTTGTCTATAAAGTTTATAAAAAACACTATATTCTAGAGCCCATTTGTCCGATTTCATTGCAATTGCGTTTTTGTACAACTTTGAAGGGACTTCTTTGTAAAAAGTGTGCACCAAAGTCCTTACTCAAACAATCTGTTCTGGAAATTTCCGCGTGGCATGGCCATTTTTGTTTATCGCGATTTGTTCTTTGTCTATGTAAATTGTTTAATAAAACACCATATTCTAGAGCAAGCCGTTTAAACACCATTTGTCTGATTCCATTGCAAATTCGTTTTTGTACAACTTTGAAAGGTACTCTTTGCACAGTATTAGGACTAAAGCCCTTACCTAAACAATGCCTTGGAGATTTCTACGTGGCATGGCCATTTTTGTACCGGCGATTTGCTGTTTTCGATATAATTGTAGATCAAATGAAAATTTATAAAGCGATAAAATGGAGACAACACCTTACTTAAAAGTGTGTTTTGCATTATTATGATAGATCACAACTTGATATGAATGTTATTTATTGGTCTGTGACAAAAATGCGCTTTAAAGCAGGTTCTAACGGGAATTGTCATGCACAGTTAGCCATTGTAGAATAAACGTTACGTACTTAAAACAAGTAAAATGATCCAGAAGATTGTAAGGGTTAGAGAGTCTTCTTTACAGAAATATGGCGCAATGAATATATCTTCCAAAATGATAGCAAGATGCCACATAAAATTGTCTCTTTTTAGACTGGCGATTTGTTGTCTTAGTAAATAATTTTTGCACAACTTTGGAGGGTCTTCTTTGCACAAATTGATGGCCAAACCCCTAACCTAAACAATATGCCAAGAAAATTTCCGCATGGCATGGTTATTTTTGGACCGGCGTTTTATTCGTTCTCTATATAAAGTGCGATACTGTTCTTAAAATACACAATATTCAAAAGCCAACAGTTAAAGCACCATTTGTCAGATTCCGATGACAATTTGTTTTTGTACAACGTTTGAGGGTCTTTGTACAAAATGAGCATCAAATCCCTAACTTTAACAATATAACCGAGAGATTTCCGCATGGCATGGCCATTTTTGCGAACTGCGATTTGTTCTTTGTCTATATAAAGTGCATGGATTTTCGTAAAAAACACCATATCCTAAAGATAAGCGTTCAAACACCATTGTCTGATTCCGTTGTAAATTCGTTTTTGTACAACTTTGGAGGGTGGATTAACTTCTTTGTACAAAATGAGCACCAACGTTTTAAATTAATCACTATTTCCGTGAGATTTACGCATGGCATGACCATTTTTTGCGAACTGCGATTTGTTCTTTGTCTATATAATAAACAAGAGTTTTCGTAAAAAAGCACCATAATATTATAAAGATTGCGAAATAGTCATATTCATGCCGTTTTATTATGTATGTTTATGTCAGTTTTGAGTCTCTGTTAATCAAATAACTGAGCTTATTCGCATCACGGCGATCACAACTCCCTTTGCTGTATCAATATGATCATTTGTCGTCATTATGGAATATTATCTTTTAAATTGAAATCTAGACCTGTGATAAAAATATAAGTTTTATTTTTTCTATTAAATGTTTGTGTTTAAATCAATATTTTACCTTTTGTAATTTTGAGGAAAATAAATGACGTCATTATGAGTAGTGAAAAATGTTAAATTATCTTTTTAATTTTAGATAACTATGAAACAATTTTTACATCAAAGTGTGCTACAAACCGTTCATACTATCCCATTAAAATAATGATCATTGTTTTTTAAAGGCTACAGAATAATAAAAATCTTTACGAGAATTTAAATATTTATTCCTTTTCTTGTTCCGCTTGACATAATTAACGAACGAGGATTTAAAAAATCAACATTTTAACAACCTTTTTTATTCAAGTCTGTTTTATTTGTATCGCACCTATCAATATTAATGTGGAGCCGTAAATGTGCTGCCACAAGACAATGACGGGAATGTTCCACATATCTATACCCAATCTTGCATCATGACAATATCCTTGCTTTTCAATTTCACCACAGGTAAAACACAAAGCATATTTTTGTAAAAGATGGAATCCTACAGACGCAACTTTGAAATTTCAAAATTGTACCGTTTTCATTTTTAAATGTGGAACTTTGCTTTCGTTGTAGCTATGGCACATGGAAGGTAACCTGCAAGTACGAGTATAGACAATTAATAAGCTCAATCAAACCGAGCCTGGAACAGTTTTGGGCGTTCTTAAAGAATCTCGTTCTTCTTTGTTTCTGTATAATTTACTGATGTAGTTACAAAATGTCCGTTAAAATCTGATATTTTATTTTTGGAAAGGAAGCAATTGTATGGCTAATTTTTAGACTTCACCGAAGCTTATTTATATAAATCACGCACATTAAACAAAAGTCAATATTCTCAAACGTCCATGAGCATGTATAACAATTTGTGAACGGTTTATTACATAACTTCAAATCATATATGAAAATATATATTCTTTTTTGTAAAAGTGCATCCTTGTTTTTAAGTTATTTAGTCTCTGTTTTGTTCTACGGCTTCTTTTGATTAAAATGTCAAAAGGCTTTTATAATGAGCAACTCCTTTGTAGCCATTTTAATTTCCGACATACCTTTAGATTAACTTGCAAGTAAATATAAATTTTTGCGATACATTCAAAATGAAATAAAATTACATCTTAATGTTTAGAATGTGCGACCATAGTCTATTCGTTTGTCTCTTTTGGAACAAAATTAACTGGATACTAATTGCTCTTTGTTCATTGAAACTCCTTGAAATGTACAGTTTAAAGTATTAAATTACCCATTAACTTGATGAAGGCATTACCTTGCTGATCGAAATTTGCACGGTTTTGAATTGGAGCAGTTAAAAGTTTCAGAGATTACAGTATCAAAACTAAAAGGTTAAGCTACCAACAATATAGGACCTAGTGAGACTGAATGGTTTGTTCATAATAATATTGTACTTTTCATATGACTGGTTCTTCCACCAGTCAATGAATTAACGCCCGCTGTCGGTATTCAAACTCTGTATGAAAAGGAACAAGTGATTTTGAACCAGCGCCGTTAAACACGAATGACGTATTTCTCCACTTACAGAGTCTATACGACAAGGGTCCTAGAACCTTCCTGCGTCTGTTTACCATACGCATGGTTCTGCTAGACAATATTCTGATTAAAATTATGCGGTAACATTCATTTATCAAATCCAGGTAAAATGTTTCGGGATCTCTAAAACTTAATTGAATAGAAAGAAAGATGAACTATTGTCTATGTATATTTACTGCCAAGGTTTTGTTTTCTAAGCCTTGCAATCTCGCAAACCCACAATACAACATTTGTTATTTTGCGAACAAACAGTTTATGTAAACATTTGCTTGATTTGGTTTTTGATTTACGATTATTTTACTGATATTAGTCCATTATCTAATACTGATGTTACATAATAGAAAACAATATACTGCAAACAATGCATATTAATTAATTTTATTCTAACATACATTAAATTATATTACATTGAATTGTGCTGTAACACGAAGAGTTGTCTTTACAGGCACGTGTGCTAATTAATATTTTCCTTTTTTTCACCACCGTGAAAAATGGTTGAAATGCAATATCCGTAAACTGAAACGTAAACACGACAGTTACGAAGATTGTCATAGCCAGACACTTTACAGGATACTCTTGATGAAGCAGTAGGATAATATTAGTTTCATGGAATTTCTTTTTCTTTAACATTCGTATTTTGATGTTTTAACAATATATTTCACATATTTTAAGTTAATGTCAATGCTTAGGTTATTATTTTTTGCACTGTGTTTTAATTATATCACTAATGAAATTATTGTCACCAAAGAGTAAAGATGATGTATAATAAAACCAGCAACTTTTCGTTGACATTCAATTTTAATGGACGGTACAATATCAACGCAGCAGAAAAAAGTGATACAGATTCGGATGATTATTTATACGATCTTAATTCTAACAGTAGTACACTTCAGATTGCCACAGATCCATTTATACCACTGTATATTTATATAACAGTTTCTGTAGCGAATGTTATTTTATTTGTTACGGGATGTTTTGGCAACAGTTTGGTCTTACTTGTGGTGGCGCGCAAACAGGATATGAGGACTCCAACAAATTATTTTATCTCAAGTCTTGCCGTAGCCGACTTGTTGGTTCTCCTGATTTGCCAGCCCGCTGCCCTCATGGAGTTCTTTGCAAAGGACAGATGGTTAATTGGAAAAACGTTATGTAAGTTGAAACTTTTTTTCCCTGGGAATGTTGTTAAGTGCATATATCTTTTTATAGAAGTAATAATAGAGAGTACTTACATATAAAACAAGAAATTGTAAGAATACATTTTCTAAAAAAGGAAAAAAGTAGCATATTTACCAAAAAAATGAAGAATATTAATTTCATTTTGAATCTGTTTTATATCTATCATGAGTGAAAATTGAACCTGTCTCTGAAAGTATTATATAAATATACCAACAATTTACAATATCACAATTTAACAATCATAATCAGCAAGTATGTATAAATATGGGTTTGGCAAAAAGTTCTAAATACATTATGCGAAACGCTTTGATAAATTTTGAAAATTTAATCGCGTGTTGTTGTTGTTGCAATTTTCATATTATTGTAACATTATGCATGATAAGTAATATGAGTAAATATAAAATAACTTCAGTTAAACAACATAAATATACATGTACATTTTTTTTTAAATACTTTATCTTCGATATTGAACAAAATGAATAAGAAAAAAAAGAATTCCAAAATGAGACTCATTATTATATCACAAACTAATAATTTAAGTACTGTATCAATTGGACAAGTATGAAATACATATTTTGAGACATTTTATATTTTTCTACATATTTGAATGTTATGAGACTTCTAAAACTCGTTCCACAAAAGTATATTCAACATACTAAAAAAATTAGGATATGCTTCCAAATACAAATGTAGAATAAGTAAAAGAAAATTTCGAAGAACAGATAACGAAAGTTTAGAAGAAATTAAACGAAAGATTAGCAACAATTATGATTCATCTAAATAATTATACAGCAATTTTGCAATTTTATCGTTATCGCATTTGTTTTTCAATTAAAACAAGTCATTTGTTACATCATTCAACTATTGCTGTTTTAAATGAATGAAATAAAAACGATTGTCAAAATACATGTATAAACGGCAAAAAAATGGTGACAAATTTCGTTTATTTAAGTTTTCAAGCCTAATTTACCAACCAGAGGAAACAGTACGTTAAAATTAGATGAAAACAAAAGCGACAGTGTTTTGTCGTTTTTTTGTATTTTTTTGTCTTAGATGTATAAGCTGTCTTCTTTTCTGATCTTTTTTTGCTTTTTGCTACATTTGTTAAAGTTTGCCTAAGTGCTCTCAATATATTATCTCACATTAAAAATATTTTCACTCGACTTCATGTTTCATTCCGCTAAATGTATCAAAGGAAAGAAATAACGTTTTTAAAAATAGATCGTTTGGAAATTAAGTGGTTTACAGATGCTTGACTTAATAAGATATTTCTCAAAGAGACCTGAACAAAAGAAAAAGATTACATGATATAGGAAACGTCAGCTTTGAAAACATATTTTTGTCAATACATGACTTGTCCTTAATGCGAAAACTAAAGTCAGCAAATATGTGTAAATATATATATCAGTATATTAAAAATCTTTGATGTTGATTTACCTGTACAATGGTTGATTTGAAATTATTTCTATATTAATTTTGTTTTGTCTGCACTATAATTCGTACAAAAGTCCACCCGGAATTTGAATCATGCAACAGTTACGTATAGAGCAGTTGAGATTCTATGAAAATACTTGGTTTGCTCAAGCTCATTTCCCTAAACTGAGTTGTAATATCGTCAGACTACATTGCATTATTAAGAAAATGTCAATCCAGAAACAGTTTCAAACGATTTATCCCTCTTCTAATAATACAAGTCTTACACAAGCTCTAAACCTGGCAATATTTGTACAGCTATTACCGAAAAGTCCTTGAAAAATAATTTTAATTTCCTGTAAATATTTTATTTTAATTTGTTTATTTCGTTTGTTTTTGGATTTCTTTTGTTGTTTTTTTAATTGAATTGCTCAAAAACTTTGATAACTACATATATTTATTTTATAATTAAAAATAAAAAAATATTTAATTGTCAAACAGCACTTGCCTTGTTTAACTTTTTGGAGTAATCACTACAAATGTATGTTAGATTTTTATTGGATATATTGGGCGCTTATATAAAGCTGTTCTATAACTGGTATATAAGCTTTATTTGAAAAATGTTAATCTAATTTTTTTTCACTTTTTTTCATGATAATACTGACGTTATTAGAGTTAGGCAGACACTTACGTAGTTTGGAGAAACTCTGTACAAAACAACAACAACAGCAACGAAGGGAATTTGATCCCATAAGACCACAACTTACATTTAAAAAAAACAACAGAGTTTGGTGTAAAATTGCACATTAACGCGAATCATGTAGACAACTGCAGAATTAATTTTGCATTAATAACTAATATTTGTATTAATAAACAAAAATTGTGCTTCGGTTATATTATAATTAAAAGGTGTACATTTAATTGTTCAATAATGTAGAAATGCGTGACTATGTAGATGTTAATCTCTTTGCTGCAATAGTGCAATGATATAATGCACCATTATTATTCTTTGTCAAAAACCTAATAACAACATATTTACAAAGTCATATTTTATATAGTTATATTTACGATTCCATGATTTAAGTGTTTTAAAAAAGTACGTAAAGCATTTTTAACATTTTAACATTTATTTCTTAAAAATAATGTTTTGTGTTTGCATTTACATTATTTCTTGCAACGAGGAACTTCCTTTCATTTGTATTGTAATATCATTATTTTTCATAAATTAAATTTCGTTCAACATTTGTACAGTTTTCATAAAATTGTCATTTTTATAATCTTGCCCCCCCACCATAATAAAATTTATGTATGTTTTGATTTATAGCCAGTTGTTTTACTACTTTCATCCGTGTAATTATTCTCGAGACAGATATGGATAATTTATATATTTATAATATCATATCTTTACTTAAGAAATCATTGGTCTTATGAATAAAAGAGGAGAATCGAAGTACAACCGTACAGCAAGGGAGAAGTAGTAGTATTGGAAAACTTTTCTGATATCAAAGAGCATCATTTTATCTCATCGTTTTATTCTCCAAGAGAATTTCAATTTCGCGTCACTAAACTGAACATTATAATCATTACATTTCATATCTTATAGATAATTTCAGTTGGTAATTAACAAAAAACAATAAGTAAGTCATTTAAGGCTTGTTATTAAGTTGGAATTTTACGCATTTAAAAACAACAATGACAACTTAAAACTTAATTAAAATACTTTTTATAATATTATTTAAAAGTAGCATGGATTATAAAGAAACTTATTTTGGTGAAATAGACGAAGGACGACCACACATCAACACAACACAGGCAGATTTTATAAAACACCACGACGAACCAAGGGGTTTGGAAATTCCGCTTTACATTTATATAATTTCTTCATTGTTGAATGCGACAATATTTATCATCGGGACATTCGGAAATATTCTTGTGATTGTAGTAGTTTTAAAAGTGAGAAATATGCGCACACCAACAAATGTGTTCTTGTTAAATTTAAGCGCAGCTGATGTTCTAGTATTGCTTGTTTGTCAGCCAGCTGGACTGCTGGAGTTTTTCGGGAAGGAAAGGTGGTTTTTAGGAAAAATCATGTGTAAGTCGTTTGTGAACAAATACGTATTCTCTATGAATTTTTTCAATGCTGTAGAAAATGTTGTAAAATTCAAAATACAAAAGATAATTTAGAAAAGTGTTGATAATTATTATAAATAATTTCTAAACAGAAACTTATATTTGAGCAAAACTTTAAATTTTCTTGTACTTAATTCCTTATTTTTATTTTCTTGTTTCTCTAGACACTTATGTAGTTATACTTTTTCTCCCGACAACAAAACAAATATATTCTCGTTTTAATAACTCATATGTTTCATACGGTACCCTTGAATAGTATTGAAATTTAATATTTTGGTTACCATGAACAGTTTGTAAATGAGTTTTTGATTTTCTCGGTATTCAATATTTCTCGAGAAAACAAATAGTAAAAGGGATGCCCTTAATACAATGAAAAGAATATGAAGGGGGATTAGATTCAATTTGATTCTCGCGCCCCTTTATAAGAACTGAACACCTAAGTATGGTGTCATCTTAAATATTTAAAAAGATCAACTGTAACAGATATGTTCATGCGGCGTGATCATAGAAATAAAATTTGAAAAACAAACTGTAGACTCTTACAGTTAAACATGTGACTTTAACTTATAAATGATAATATGTTTAAGAGGCACATATTATCAGGTCAGTATTCACTTAGATTATTTACATTTAAATATTTTACAGAAACAGATTTCTGACAATAATCGCAACAAATATTTATTGTATAGTGCCTGCAAATATTTAAATATTAAGAAAGATACTTTTCAAGTTTTAACATTTTCACAACAATAATACTCCAAGACATAAACGTAGTAAATATTAAACAAACCTTTGCCAATATAAATGGTATTAAATCTACCACACTGATAAATAATGAGACCTGTATTAAGGATATCAATATTAAAATCATGATGATTTTTTTATATTTGTAGAGTAGTTTCACAATAACTGTATCTGTCATTATAATCCACACGTTTTGCAAAATATGTTGTTTATATCACGCTAAGATTAAATACAGGGAAGTTCTTTTTTCTTTTTTTACATTTCTTGCTTAAAACAGAATCACGGCTTGAGGAAATAAAGCCTTGTCAAATGATTGTACTAGAAATAGAAATTCAATTTCTTACCGCATGAGGCAATATAATGAATGACATGCTTTGTTAAAAATAATAAAACATCGTATAATGATAAATGTCACTTTTCAAAAACAATAACGTTTTTAACTGTATTAATAATTTAGATATTTTACCAGATATATGAAAAAATTCTCAAAAGGAAAAATTAAAATTAATACTCGTTCAAGAGGAGTGTTCAAAGATGAATGCATCTTAGCACTTGTAATAATAATAATCATTAATATGATTCTTGATTCCTTGGTTTCACTGACTATTGTATTTTGTTCCCTTAGAATATGCACAGATGATCCTTTTTGCAATGCATGGCCCTTTGACATACTGTTGTTGTTGTGCCAAATCTTGTGTTGGTGTGTTTTGGCTCACAAAAATGTACACATGTTTTGTCACGAGCGACGATATTAGCAACCGTGCATTGTAATTTGGATACGTTTTTAAGTCACAACTTAGCGCTATTACACACAAGGATTTTCTGCTTAACTGTCAGCAAATGGGGAATCCACGATGCACAGATCCTACAATTGCATTTATTAAACTAAAGAATAACTGATGAAAAGAACATTGCAATATGTCCATATGATACAGAATTTTTTTATCAGAACATGCCCAGGCCAAGGTAACAGCGATTTTTAAGACCTTTTTTCAATGTTTATTCCTCTGATCCTCTACCAACCAGTTTTGTATTACAGTATACGAGCAGACAATTAAGAGCAAGCTATAAGAAAGTGAACGAAAGTGAACGGATGTCTTATCTTCGATATTTAGGATATTTAATTTAGTGAGCTATTCTGATTTGGTAAATCAATGTAGTTTATTGTGCAAAATAAATACATGAACTACGTTATTGATATTGCTGACATTAATACCTGTATTTTGTTTAACGATATTTTTAACACATATATTTTGGTTTCAAAAATATATTTTGGTATGTAAATATAGTTGGGATTTAAACATATCTTTTCGGTTTTAGTTTCATATTATATCTGCTAATCATTTTGCTAGGCTTTTATTTGTCAAAGAAGGCTTATATTCAAACGATGAAAGTGAATGTGTACCAGTCAAATGATAATGATACACTAACAGAATGTTTTCTCAATGAATATTCAGAAATTGTTTATAGGAAGATTCATTGACGTAATTGAGGAACAAAAATCTGATAAATACTTCCTTAATAATGAGAAATTGTAGGTTACTTTTGTAAATTATAAGAATATATTTATTTTCTTCAGGTAAACTTGTTCCGTTGATGGAGAATGGTGTACTGCATGTTTCTATTCTCACGATGCTTGCTGTGACATTTGAACGTTATAATGCGTTATGTCACCCATTCAAACATCGGATGGCATCAACAATCTCGGCTACCGTGAAGACAATTATCGGAATTTGGATAATCGGAACTATTCTAACACTACCATTTTTGATAATGACAGAACATGAGGACGCCATGTTTTATGATGGTTCCCCAATCAAAGTTTGCCGGACAAAAGTAAACGAAATGTGGCGCTACTGTTATACAATTTTCTTATTCATTGCGTTTTTCGTTTTACCTTTCTTCATTTTGATTGGATTTTATGCCCGTATTATAAAACAATTAATGTCAGATAAGTTGAAATCCCTAGCTCAGAATGATCGACCAGCCGTAAATGCCTTGCGATCCAGACGCCAAGTTGTTCAAATGCTTATATTCATTATTGTTTTATTTTTCGTCACACTTTTTCCTATAAGAGTGTTTTCGCTCTGGCTTATTTTCACGCCTACAGAGGACGCCATAAAGATAGGTCTAGAAGCTTATCTGAACCTTATATCTTGGGCAAGAATTCTGATGTACATCAACAGTGCCGGAAACCCAATCATTTACAGTTTGACGTCCACAAAGTTTAAGACTGCGTTTAAGAGGGTACTTAGACGCAACAGACGGTATCCACAGTGTGGCGTCGCGTCAACTAGATATAGTTTCAAACGGACGACTCCGGATGGAACCGGTAATTTAGTTTCTACTCCTTTATCACGTTTAAGTGGTACTCGCCTATCTTCATTTAGATCAAAACTTTCTAGGAAAACTTCCAGCTCTAGCTCAAGGGGCCGACATTGCAACCCTCATGATTTTGATTAAGCTCGGTAAGAAATAGTTTCTAAAAGTTACCTAGTTTGTTACTGTTTTAAGGTTAGTTTAAGATATCGTCGAATAAGATTATTTTGACTGCCTATATAAAACAAAACTTTATAATATTTTTAATTGAATTCCTTTATTTGATCGACTTATATTCCTGACTATATATTGCCGCTCATCAGGATGAAATATTATAGATTTGACATCAGCCGTCTGTATACAGTGTTTTATGAAAAATGTTATCATTTGAAAGTTTTAACGAAGGCATTTAAAAAATTGCGACACACCGTTAAAATTTTGAAAGTTAATGTTACAGTTATATTACAAATTAGAAACCGCTGCTGAAACGGTTTTAATTTTTTAGCAAACAAAAATCAGATTATACATGTTTTAAAACAATTGTGTAACAGTCTTCTCTGTCAGATGCGGTGTAAAAATGTAAGTTATATACGTAAAACAAAAATTCTAAATATTTGTAAGATATGCCATAAGGCTATTGCAAAAATGCCATGTTATGACTGGGTCTCTCTATCACTATTTCTATTTACTTTCATTCAGACGAAAGACGAGTACCAGTCCAAATCAGAGATGAACGAATTAATTTGTCTAAAAATGAAATTCCTTGGCTCGTAGTACGACTTGTGCTTGTGCCGGAGAAATCAAAACGTCGTCACAGAAATGGGCAAAGCAGTAGTGATTTTACACCTTTACAAATAATGAGTGCAAAAATCGAGATAAATGAGAGAGATATCAGTCATCAGTAAAAGTCCTACATACAGTGTCGCCACCTATATAAAACAGAGGAAGTACGTGTTAATACGAATTCAAACACATAAGTTGTTATGACGAGTTTAAAAAAATACTTCTCAGAATTGTGATTGGAGATTGAATTCTGTTATACCTTAAATTTGAAATCAAACAAACATTTTCTTTGGATGAAATAGCAAAAGATCGTATACTCGGTTGCATTATGGGCCAGTGCTATTGCGATGATTAACCCGGTTTGTACTTTCATCGATATGCTTAATGATTTTGAGTGTACCCAATTGCCTAGACAAAAAAACAACAACAAGAAGCGAACAAACAAAAAACAACGAAAACAACAACATGTTAGACCATGACGATTGCGTCAAAAAGCTAGTCGTCCTAGGGCTTTTTGACCATGACGACCGCGTCAAATCACTATTTGCCTTGACCATGACTATTGCGTCAAATAAATAGTTTTCATGGGGACTCCTAACCGTGATGATTGCATTAAGCTAAATAACTAGTCGTCTTGATCATGACGATCGCGTCAATTAACTAATCTTTTTGACCATGACAATAGCTTCAAATAACTGGTCGTACTTGGAACTCCTGATCATGACGATCGCGACAAAAAATATTCGTCGTAGTGATCATGATTAAAATAAAAATCTAGGCGATCGACCATAACGATCGAATCAATTAATAGTAATCCTGACCATTGCGATTGCATCAAATAAGTTATTGGCCTCGATGGCATCGATTTGAATTAACAATCGCAAACGCATCAAATACATTGACTATGGCGATTGAATGACATTAATAATCGACCTGACCATTACGAATACATCAATCTACTGGACTGTAAGGATTGTATCATTTAATTAGTCGTCCTGACAATCACGATTTGCTCGTAACTATCTTTTAGTAAAACAATTGATACAGAAAGATTGTTATATGTTCTTTTTAAAAATAATGGTCATATTTAAGGACAGTATTAATGACAGAAATATTATATTGGTGCGTAAAACATTCCAGGTACATCATCAACATAATCATAATAATACAGTGTAATACGGAAACGTATATTGATATCCTTGCTAGATACTGATGTTGATGCGTTGAGGAAAACATAACAACAAATCATTACACACTGAAAATATTTTGAAGTTCATAAGGATACGACACGTGAATATTATTGATGTTTATAGCATTTCTTTTTTTAAAGATTCAGTAGCACCATCATTTTAAATGTTGTTTTTATTAAACATTTTAGTGGAAGGTTAAAGAAGATTTATGACTCAACGTAAATTAATGCCTTTTGAAACTAAAAACCGATGCCAGTCAGAACTCTGCCTTTAAATAATCTTTTCGCATAAAAAATCACAAGAGGCCCATCTGTGTCTATATTGCTTATATGACTAAATGAAAGGAATATTCTGAGCATCCTTTTTAATACGCAATCAAAGAGAACATGGACCAACCTGGTTTATGAAACTTACGTTGTATATATATGAGGAAGACTTGGCAATGCTACATAACAAATACATAACATACTTTTGTAAAAGCTATTTCGTAAAAAAAATGCACGTGCACTCAAGGCGGGACATATTATGACCAGAAAGCCCAAAGGAGCACAACATATTACATTTGTATTAATAAACATTTGAAGAGGGCAAATATTAAATGTTTATTGAATTACAAGACGCACTTGGTCGTGTTAATTTGTGACATACTTGATGTTTAGATAAAATTATAGTTCATATTAAAAGCACATTAAGACTTTGAAATGGCTACATAATAACATCTCAAGAAAAGACAAACATGTTTTTATTGAAATCGATTAAGAAAATTTTAGATGCTTATCACGTGAAAAATGTAGTGCTTGATGTAATATCATTTGCCAATAAAGTAGCAAAATGTAATTATTGGTCAATTATTTGGTCAAAAAGAAAAAGAAGCAAAACATGGATACCGCTAGAGTTTATAGCCAATGAGTACCATTCTATAAACTGTACGATTGCAGATTAAAGGAAATGCTTTTGAAAAATAAAACAGCATGTTCGCGGCATTATTGGCCTTATATAATTTATACACGAGATCATTAACATTTAAAAACTTTTGAAAACTATTTTATTAGAATAGGTTCAGCGAAAAACAAAATTGACTGTAAATGTTCTTTCATCGGAGATGTTACTTTTAAAACTGTAGATATAAGAAAAATGCTAACGGCTTTGAATAACTTCGACAGAAAACAGGAAAACTAAATAGCTCTTATCTTAAGCAAAAAACATGTTGCAGAAAATCCAATATAGATCCTGATGCATTATACTATTAAAAGCTATATATTTAACTCATATAAGCAAGTGTTTTTTTGTTTTCAAAATAAAGTAACATCATTGAATTTTAAAAGTGTTACATAAACAGATAGGGGAATAAACAACATTCAACTAATCCGAGACACATACAATGTTCATTTTCGTGAAAAAGCATCAACTATGTTTGTCTGCTTACTTTCACATCATTCAGTTGATAACATTTACATTAGAAAAAACATTAGATAGCCGCTCAAACTCGAGAAAAATGTCATAATGGGCCCATTTATTAAAACCGTAAAAAGCACAGTAATGGCTGGAATAATTATTCAGAAAATCTTGTTTGATATAAATGAGGTAACACCTTGAAAACATTGAGTTAAGTACAATCGAAAATGATCATATTTGTTTTTCTTTTTCTTTCCAAGTCTTAAATTCAAGACCTATGATGTTTTTTTATGTTACTAGTTTACCAAAAAGGGAAAGGCAATGTAAGAATAAAAAACTGATACAAAAAAAAGAATAAATAGTAAATCTGCATATTAACTGCGTACAAATAATTATATTAAACGCTTGATAACAAAATTTAAATCGCTAAATCACCGATTTCTACAAATCAGTAGGTGCGGCCATGTTTGTGTATGGCCGTATGGTGCGCGTGATGTCATTAACCCACATCGAATCGTAGCGGAAGATAAAGATATTGACCAGACAAATAAATTCTAAACAGGATGTGTAGGGAAGAATATTTTTGTTCAAAATGCGTAACAATATCCAAGAAAATAAAGAAACAAATAAAAAAATCAAACTTGGTCGCACCACTTCAGACAGAATGATGCCGTTACTCTAAACAATGCTACGTTTAATGAAGTCATGTAATTAAACACTATTTCACATATTTAATATAAACACATCTTATTTTAACACAGTCTCACTATCAATCAATAAATGCAATTAAAGAAACAAATGTACCAACGAATAATAAATGGCCTGTTAATAATTAAACGGCAACAGTAATCATTATTATAATAAAAATCCTACTAAAAGGTTTTCATAGTAGTAATTAAATTCTTAAAGTTGATCATGTACATCCAATAAAAAGGTGTTGATATAGATTGTAATTGATGTACACATTTCAAAATATAAGCAACTCTTTTGGACAGTAAATCGTGCGCAGGTCTGTCGATCAGAGGTCAACGTTGCTGTGCGGTATTTATTTACATCTGGAACTTTATATTGCAATCGATGGTATTTATTATTATTTTGTTTCTTAATACTGTTTCATACATTTTGTTCATTGTAATTGATGACATAGTATGACAAAGGTTGTGAGTAAGATATATATCACTGGATTTAGTTGAGATAAAGTGTTGAAAAAAGATACATGCCCGACGACGTACCCGATACACAAATACAAAGGACAGTTTGTCTCGCGAAAAGTTAAAGAAAAGGATTTATTGTCAATTTGAAGGGGTCATCTCTCATTTTAATTACAGTTCCCACCCAAATAAATCAAATGGTTTATCTTTGAATATTAAGCAGTCATTGCTTAAATCATGTGGTCAAAAATCATTGGCATTTGATAATCGGGCAAATGTTAATTAATGTCGAGGCAAATTCGATTAATTAATTAAAGCATTTCAGTTCAATACGATGTTTTCATACACTTTATTGATTATAATATGTAAAGGAAATGAATTGAAGATACTGGTATTGATAAAGTTAACGTAACAAGCATCTATTATCGGAGAAAAAAATACATTGACAAAGCATCCATATTATGTCCGAAACATGCGATAATTTCGGTATCTACATATACTTCTGTGACGTAAAACCCAAAAACAAACAAACATATACTTCTTATTTATACCTTTGGAGACAAATAATTGTCAACTCATTTTTGTTAAATCATTTTAATACATGTATGTATGTGAATAAAATGTACGTTTTATGAAATAAGTTTTCATTATATATTTTTTACACCTTTTTACACTGCAATTTTGGTAATACGTAAAAAGTGGCGGGGGGCCCTAATTGGGGGCCCCCAAAAACTTAATTCTAAAAGTTAAAAATTGGCTTCAAAAAGGTGTTTTTCAACGAAAAACTCCCCAGGGTGACTTTTTAAAGCATTAATATTTATATAAGACAGACATCAATCTATCCGTTCTTTTTCCTTTAAAATTGGATATCATTCTTCCACATACAACCTTATGTACCATAACTTACAATGTACATGTCTTATTTTATGCAAACAGAAAACTGAATGCTGTGAATTCAACTTGAAATGTCATTGTCCCAAAAAAGATTTTGTACAATGTACAATTTTTTTTCCAATTTTATTTTCTGATCAAAAACTAAAATGAAGAAACATAAACAAATTGATTATTATGCACTTATTGACTATTGTGCCGTTGGATATGATGTGATATTCACCGGCATGTAACATATTGACCGAGGCGGTAACCGCAAAATTGAAAATGTTGCAGACTCGGTGTGATTGAGCCTGTAAATGGACGGTACTGTTAAGTGCAAACTACCGTCCTAGCACCGGCTTAAACAGAATTTAAACATGACATTTAACATTTAAACATGACATGACAACATTTTGAATTGTGAAACATCGGCAGATATGTTCATACGGCGGTTATCATAGAACCCCCATTGTGACACTTCCGTTCTATTTCATGAAAATCGGCATTTAATTGGTCCCCAAGTAAAAGAATGTGTGTGGCCTGAACGAGAAAACAATGGATATAACTCAATACAGGATTGGAGCAGTACCTGTAGACGCTTGCAGAAATCATGATCACAAAATAGACAAATATGATTTTTTTTCGCCGAATTTCACATTTTTCATTCCTTACCGTATATAAATGGGTGTGAAAAGATGACTTAGACGTTTCAAAGTTCATTCCGTAAGATGAAAAGGCGAGATTTTACCATTTAATTATTCAATCGTCTTGTCCGATATGAACCGGAATACTGTATTTAATGTGGTGCTCCAATCCGTTTTTTAGTCTCACTCGAAAACAATAAGTGGAACTAAACAAAATGGAATTTTAAAAGGGGATCAGAGGTTATGAAGTCTGCATATCACAGATAAGAAGTCAAAAGACAAAGTTTCATAGACTTAAAGGGCTTCATAAAATAGAAACGCGGTTCATTGTAAACAATAAGATGTATGTGGTTTTTTTATAATTTAAAAAACGATTTGTTATAAACAGACTATGATCAAGAGCTTTATTTACAGGTCTGTTTAGGGGGGTCCAATTATTTAGCGTTCATTTTTAGATTTTGTCACATTTCTGGAATAGTGGTAAAATAAAATATCTAATGTGGTTAAATGTTATATATTATATTAATTTGATTATTAGTATTTGTTATTTGAAACTGAGTCTAAGTTGGCGTCATCATCTTCAGATAGACAATAATCATGTCTTAAAAATGTACATACCATTCACAGACAAAAATAGAATTAAACATTGAATAATATAAAATATTATTTGCTATTAAAAATGGCGGTCGGTGTGTACTGAATGTCTGATAGCGGTGGATGAAATTGGACTTTTTCTGTGTTAAACTATTTGGATTATTATTATGATATCATCAAATGAAACATATTTAACATGAGTAAGTGTTGGTGATTGAAGTATATATTGAACAAGTGAAATATTAACGAAATAAAGGATTACATTTGTGCCACAAGAAATACAGGTGAAATACAGGTGTTAACACAGGTAGTACACGGGAAAATTGTACACGGGAAAATTGTAAACACCGCCATATTGATTTTCGAGTGTAGTGATTAAATTCTTATTGTATACTCGATTACATGTATATATTTGATACACAAGAACTAGACAAGGACAAGGCAAGTAAAATATTGAAAAGGCAAATAGATATATACTTATATATAAATTCACATTAAACAATGTCACACTCCTACAGTTATATATTAAATGCACCCGGAACAACTGAAACACCCGTAACACGTTCTAAAAGAGGTCATAGTGACATACAGAGCCCCTCAGATGAACATAACGATGGGCTTGCCGGGGCCCCACCGCTTTCCAGAATGCGAGAATACAGCAGCCCAGGTATAACCTCTGATTCAAACGAAATATCAAACATAGTCAAATCTGCGATATGTAGTCCAGAAGTAATGAATTCTATTTGTGAAAATATGAGTGCTATTTTCGAAACAATGCTAAAGCCATTAAATGAAAAACTGGACAAACACGTTGATGCTTTGCATACATTAACCTCTGACCTTGCTAAACAATCTACCGAATTGAGTGACCTTAAGTCTGAGAACACCAAGCTTAAATACCGTGTTGAAAAGGCTGAGGAGACAATTGATTATTTGCTCTCTAAATCAGATGATATTGAACAGTACAGTCGAAGAACTACCTTGCGATTCTTCAATATAAATCAAAATTACATTCCAACAAATACATTAACATCTTCAGAATCTCAATCTTCCTCCGAAAACCTAAACAGGGAATCATCTGCAAAATCTGATCAGCCGAATGATGTCACCAGTGACGCCACCAATCAATCTGATGTAAATGCCAGGTATGAAAATATCATTCTTGATATATGCAATGACAAAATGAATGTAAGTCCACCCATCTCAGTAGATGATATTGAACGTGTACACCCTATAGGCTCAGCAAAAGATGGCAAAATCCAGCTAATTTGCAAATTTAAAAGCTTGAAAGTCAAGCATCACATCTATGCCCAAAAGAGAAACCTGAAATCAAAAAAAATCTATAAACTTTAAAGTTTTCATTTCGGAGGACCTGACTAAAACACGCCAACAAATTGTGAGATCGCTCGAAGATGCCAGAAGAGACAATCTCATTCTGTCCCACTGGACGAATGACGGCCGAATATTTTATAAACTTAATCGGAAATCTGGCCCCGTTTTAGTCAAACATATAGGACAAGTAAATGACCTGCTTCGGAATGTTAATGCCTGGAATCAAGATGCACACCAGTACGGGGGCAGTTCCAGATAAGTTTCAACTATACATCTACCCTAAAATTAACTCGAATTTATTCAGTATGAGAAACCCGTTGTGCACTGTGTTTATTGACCATTTTACTGTCTGAACATTTTCTGAACAAATATAGAATATTTTTGCTAGCAAATAATAAATGTTTCATTTAAATTACATATCGATATATGCGCAATTTATTGAAAAATATATGACATCGATCTCATAGCTAAAGTTTGCTCATCTAATTTTTAACATAATTAATTGCAAGGAAAAATTAAACTATTTTTCGTTAATGCCAATCATATCACTGCTCTCCTCCTGCATTGATAGGAATCGATGTTTTTCTTGTTGTTCTTCTTCTTTGTGTTATTTTTCTCTTCTTTTTCAATATTATAATAAGCAAACATTACAATGTATTTCTTTCCGACAGTTGATATTTTATTTATGAAACTGTGTAATCATTCTATTTCATAGTGTTATTTAACTACACTTAAGTTATTTATAGTTTATTATAGTATAGTATAGCTATTTATAGTAAAATAAACATTAATACCTTTCATGGTCAATAGATAATACACCGGTTTTTAAAGGTGTTTTCCCTATTTGTTATAACCTGTGTACATATCAATATGACATTGCTTTAATATGTAATCCTGTTGTACAATTTTTATTTGTGATTAAGATAGACAAATAAAGAAAATGAATGCAATCAATTACTAGATTTTAACACTTTCAAGTATTTAATACTAAACTCATAATTCACAAAAAGAAAAAAAAATGTTTTTGTTTTTTTGTTGTTTTTTTTATTTTTGTTTTAATTTTGTCAATTGATTTCTCTTTTTGTTAATAGAATGCAGAATAATAGCCATATGCTTAGTATATCTTTCTAGCTGAAAAAAAAAATAAAAAAAAAAACTCGGTATTTTTTCTACCTTGGATCTCTCCTTTTTGCTCAGAATAGTGTCCTATTTTATCAAATGCTTGTTTGTAAACAACTATATAAATGTTCTATTATATTTTAGATTCAAAATGCAAAGGCTTATGCTATGTTTATTCATTACCATCTCATATTGAATATTAAAAATATTGTCTGTCAAATATAGGGTCGATACCTTTAAAAACGAAAGCGATTGTTATGCTCTATATTTAGATTGAGGAAAACCGGGTTTCTTGTTATTTGTTTATGTTCTATATTTAGATTGAGGAAAACCGGGTTTCTCGTTATTTGTTTATTTTGACAGGTAGTCTCAATATTACTATGGAATATATAAATACATGGCTCTAGGATTTTGCAGTTACTAAATATTTATCCTTTGTAAATGAACATAGCGAACGGTATCGAGTTGTGTTGTAAGACATACTTTTAGCATTATTTTCTTTAATAACTTGAAAAAACATGATTGTTCAAAGTTTTTGTTATTCATTATTTTAATAATTAAACATAGAACATTGAGGAATTTCTAATAATCCTAAATCCTTTGGGGTCTTAGGCTTAATTTAATCAACATTACAAAACACATGATAATTTAAATCGTACTATAGAAATTATACTTAAGATAAATAGATATTTGAAACATAGTCTTATATTGACTGTTTAGATTTCAGTTATTTTTTTTTATTCTCTTCTTCATATTTGATGATGTAACTGTGTTTTGATGTCATTTGTTTTAGCTGATTATCATGACTCATTATAATTAAAACAACAATATTTTTAAAAGAATATAGATCTATAGCCTACTTTTATAAAAAGTTTCTTCACATATATTTTTTTTCTTTTTTTGTATATTTCAACTAATCAAATCCTAGTAACAGGTATTTTGTTTTATTTTTAATTTATATCTGTCTGTTTAGCTGTTAAATAAGTTACATTCTATGAAATTCTTCTCCTGAGTGTTACGTTTATATATGAATTACATGTAGAATTACTAGCATCACTATGTATTACCATGTAGGATTATCTGTTTGATACAGATGCAAACAGCATAAACAGATAGTTAAACACAATCTAAAGAGAAAAAACTCACACACTACCCTAATGTCTATTTAAATTTCCACATCAAACTTTTCAAAATTCTACCAGTAATAAATGACTTAATTCTGAACACTTTTAATAAACAAAATGCCGCAATGTAATCTCATAATTTTCCGCAGTAAAAAGTAAAGTATCTCTATGTTGTTGTAAACAATGATCAGTATTTCAAGAACAAAATTAACATAAAGCTCAATATCTATAACTCATTATTAATACTATTTAACCAAACAATACTTTACTAAATACTATATATGTATACAAATATGAACGTGTTTTTTTGTATGTACGTATGCGTGTGATGTGCATTTTTGAACGGGCGCGCGCGGGCACTGTGTGCGTACGTGTGTGCGTGTGTGTGCGTGTGTGTGGTGAGTGCGTGCATGTGTGCGTGCGTGCGTGTGTGTGAGTAAGTGTTTGTGTGAAAACGACACATCATGCATAATTATAATCCAAGATAGATAAATTACAAACATAACAAACATAACTTTAGCCAATTTTATCCACCCATTCTTCAGTAACAGGGACATGTTCTCTCATCCTTGCATTTTTCCTTCCTCTTATTTCCTTCTGTACTTTCCTTTTACCTTTCTTATCTCATTAAATGTTTCACTTTTTGTCAAAGAATTCGGTATTGCTTCTAAAAACGGCATTAATGTAAACATTACTATGTCCATGATGGTTATATTTCTCTTTCTATCATTTATTTCATCAATAACATAAATATGATAAACTAAACACACTCACCATCATGGGCTCGTACAAATATTTCGGGTTTTTTCCACTTTTCACACATATTATCTTTCTGTTGGGCGTAAGTACTCTGTCACACTCGAACATTTGCTCTTTATACATTGAGATCATGAGATCCTCAAATATTAAGGTCAAAATACACCTGCCTATAAAGAAATTTACTTTCAACCACTCACGCGTATATGATAATAAATGCTTTACATACAATGCATTGATATTTATTTCTCTTATGACTCTTTGTACATGGCTCGCCATTCTTTTGTTACAATCTGGAGATATCCATGAAAACCCTGGCCCTGTTTCCACAAGTTCTACTGAATCAGACGTTCTTTCGAGTTTCAGATATCATCTTTCCTTAGTCCATTTAAATGTTCAAAGTGTACGTAATAAACTTGACCTGCTCTTTACTGAACTCAACGAGTTTGACATACTCGCTTTCTCGGAAACATGGCTTAACGACTCGGTATCGTCTGAGGACCTCTTGCTTTTGTCATTTCATAAACCCGAAAGGAAAGATCGTACATTTGATTCTCATGGTGGAGTTATGTTATATGTTAAAAGCAACTTGCATTATAAAAGGAGATATGATTTAGAACTAAACCGTGTAGAAAATATTTGGATAGAGCTCAGACTCGAAAATAACAAACGTGTCCTGATCGGTCTTTTCTATCGCGCTCCTAACTCCAACACACTTTACAATAATGATATTGAAGATTCTATCTCATTAGCTGTTGACACGGATATTAATGATATCATTGTTACAGGCGATTTTAACTATGACGCATTTAATACTAACACAAATAGAAAAATTCTTTCAATTTGTCAACAATTCAATATGGAACAAATAATTGAAGAATCAACTCACTTCACAGAATCGAGTCAGTCATTGATCGATCTCATTTTTGTTTCAAATAAAAATACTATTATCAAATCTGGAGTAGGCGAACACATCCTTGACCAAGAACAGCGTTACCATGTTCCAGTTTTTTGTCTTTTTAAATTCCGTAAACCAAAACAACAATGCTTTCAACGCACTATATGGGAATACAATCGTGGTGATTACGTCAAGCTTCGAAATGATTTTAACAGTTTCCAATGGGAAGAATGTTTCGATTTCAATATCAGTAAATACGCAGACAACGTCTCAAATCAAATTTTAATAATCTCTAAATATAATATACCAAATAAGGATATATATGTAAGACCTCTAGATGCCCCATGGATAACAAATACTATCAGGTCAAATATTCGTAGACGTAAACGATTGTACAGAAAAGCCAAATTAACTCAATCCAATATGCACTGGGTGAAATTTAAACAATTAAGAAATCAAATAGTATCTCAGATTAAAGAGGCGAAAGCTATTTATTACTCTAAATTATCGGACAAACTAAAACAGGAATCGTTATCTTCAAAAGACTGGTGGAAAATATTAAAATCTTTTATCTCACCTACACAGACAACGTCAATTCCCCCATTACAAAATCAAAACACCCAGGAAATTGTATTCTCTGAAGACCAAAAGGCAAACCTATTGAACGAGTATTTCTTAAATCAAACCTATATTGATAATTCTGACTCAAATGTTCCTGACCTAGGTCCACAAACAACGTCCACTGTTATCAACGATCTTTTACTAACTGCATCTGAAACTGAAGATATTCTTAAATCTCTTAAAGTCGACAAAGCATCTGGACCAGATGGTATTAGTAATAAAATTTTGCGTGAAGCCGCAAAAGAACTCTCTTTTCCTTTAACTAATCTGTTTAATCAGTCTCTATCTTGCTGTAAAGTACCAGCTTCTTGGAAGGAAGCCCATGTTACTGCTATCTTTAAAAAAAGGTGATGCATCTCTCCCTTCTAATTATAGACCAATTTCACTGCTCAACACTATGGAAAAAGTTTTTGAACGACTGATCTTTAAGCATTTATTTAATCATTTGAACGCGAATAGAATTCTTACGCCTGTGCAATCTGGGTTTATACCCGGGGATTCAACTGTAAATCAACTTGTTTATATTTATGACATACTTTGCAAAGCACTTGATGACGGTCTCGAAGCTCGAGTTATATTCTTCGACATAAGCAAGGCATTCGATAAAGTCTGGCACAAAGGCATTCTCTGTAAATTAAAATATTATGGTGTATCTGGAAACATATTTAAATGGTTTCAGGATTATTTAAGCTGCAGACGTCAGTGTGTTTGTTCTAAGAAATGCCAAATCTTCTTGGGGTGTTCTCTCAGCTGGTGTTCCACAAGGTTCGATCCTTGGTCCTTTACTTTTTCTCATCTACATAAATGACATAGTCCAAGATCTTCAATCCAATGTTAATCTTTTTGCTGATGATACCAGTCTCTATCTTGTTATTGAAAACCCACAAACTGCAGCACAACAATTACAATCAGATATTGAAATAATAGCTGCATGGGCAGAAAAATGGCTTGTCACCTTCAATCCGTCTAAATCAGAATCCCTTATTGTCTCTAGAAAAAGAAATTCATATCACCAACCACTTCAAATGCTTAATCAAACTATACCTGAAGTAAAAGATCATAAACACTTAGGATTATTTTTGTCTCACAATTGCCTGTGGCATTCACATATAGAATATATTAATGAAAAAGCATGGAAACGGGTGAACATAATGAGAAAACTGAAATTCATGCTAGATCGTAAATCTCTTGAAATTATTTATATATCGTTTATCCGACCAATCCTTGAATATGCGGATGTGGTATGGGGAAACGCATTTCAGTATGAACTTGACCTCTTAGATAAAATACAAAATGAATGTGCTAGAATAGTGTCTGGTGCAACAAGATTAGTTTCAATTGAAAACTTAAATAATGAAGTAAATTGGGAAACATTAGAACAAAGACGTTATAAACATAGATTAACATTATTCTATAAAATCAAACATGGCATTGCACCAGAATATTTGTCAGAACCAATACCGTATCAAACAAACACTCGTTATAACCTTAGAAATTCAAACGACACTATTGGTATTTCAGCAAGGACATCTTTATACTTTAGTTCTTTTTTCCCATCTTCAATTCGTGAATGGAACAACTTGCCCCTTAACATAAGGAATCTACCAACCCTTTCAATGTTTAAAAATTATCTATTACGTGATAAGAAAACTACACCAAAATACTTTTATTTTGGTGATAGAAAACTTCAAATTCTTCACACCAGGTTACGCACAAAATGTAGCTCCCTAAATTATCATTTGTTTCTTAAAAATATATCACCATCGCCATTATGTGAGTGTGGTCAAATGGAAACTAACTTTCATTACTTCTTTGAATGCAATCGCTTTCGTTCATGTAGAGAAAAATTATTGGGAAATCTAAATAATTTCGATATTACCCTCAACACCCTACTTTTTGGCAACCCGGACATCTCAGATACTGATAATGCCAATATCTTTAAACACGTTCATACTTTTATCTCAGAATCAAAGCGATTTCTCTGAACTTAAAGTGAAACAGTGAAGCAATCTTTCTTTTCTCTTTCTTTCTTTCTTCTTCCTATTTTATTATTTGTTTTCCTTTCTTCTTTTTTCGTTATTACAATTTCTAATATTATCCCGATGATTACTTATAAATATAACGTTTACTTCGTCACAAATATTTACATTCCACTTTTTTGATAATTGTACAAAATATTAGAAAATCGACTCATTATAAAGTTACACTAAAAGGAGAAGAATTTTATAAGACTTAGTCTTTCATTCTCATCCTTTTCTTTGAATATATTATATATTTGTATTCTGATTGTATTGTATTATGTATATCATGTAAATATTCGGGAAATAAATATGTTTAAACTAATAATATAAGAAAGGGAAAAAAAACAAAGCTTGTCAAATACGAGAATATATGCTCTAATGACATGAATGACCATATTCGTGTGCGAAATTGGTTTTTATATTTACAGAAGTGTTTCGCAAATTAGTTGACGGCAACTGCACACAAATTGCCCTTTTTATGTAATGAGATATTGATGTTATTCTTAAAGTAATCGATTAAAGAATAAAAAACAATTAAACGATTTTAGAATATTGAATAAAGACTTTATTTTGTATTGTTTAAACATTGTTTACTAAAACGTTTTAGTTTGTATCTCTCTTATATTCTCTGCATTTGTGGAAGAAGATAAAAAATTCTCTCAGTGAATCAAAGATTTCTATTTTCAATTAACTTTTAACACCTTATTAATTCATGTTCATGATTGAACTGTTTCACAAGTATTTTAAGAACAAATTTTACTAGCCTTATTTAATCTAATACTTCATTATCCCTGCTTGAAGTGACAGCGATAAACTTTTGCTACAAGTGGTCCGCAAATCTTTTCTACTATTTTTACATTTTTATCATATTATGATAAAAATGACAAAAGACAGCTCCTAAAAAATAGGAAATTGCTATATTTATAATAGAAATTGCGCAGGTTAAAAGACACTTCGGCTGTATGTAATTTTTAGATGTTTTAATGATACAGAAAACAAGTAATAAGTAATATTCCAAATGTCCTTTCTTTTTACATCTCTTCCATTACGGTTTTTTTATTATCTACGCACTGAAAGCAATGAAATCATTAAAAAGTTATATATTGCTCTTACACGTCCTTGCATTTATACAAAGTAATTAGATATTAGAGATAGTTAACCTCATTTGATAATAATATGAAAACGAAATTAAAAAAAATAATGAGTTTTTGAAACAAAATATGTTATGAAAACATTAAAGAATGACGAAACGAAATTTTTTGAGACCTTTAATTTCCTTCAGGATTGCACTGGGGATTTGTGTCTGTATGTGTTTTATTATCAATGAAGAAAACAATTATAACGTAAAATTCATCAATAACGTTCCTGACACAGTCAAGGATGTTCCGCATTTAAATTCATAGTAAAACATAATATATGATGCTGAAATTAGTGTTCCAAATGGCATCTCTTTTTACATCTCTAAAATTACGTTTCTGATTACCTACGACCAGGAAGTAATGAAATAATTTAAACCATATATTTCTCTTCCATATTCTTTGTATTAATACATAGATATTAAATTATAAAGATAAATTAAGGCGTTTCATATACAAGAGATATTTTACCTCATTTGATAATAAATGATATGAAAACGAATTAAAAAAATGAGAGTTTCTGAAACCAGAATATGTTGTAAAATCATTTAACAATGACATAAAGAAATTATTTTGAGACCTTTAATTTCTTATAGGATTGCACTGGGAATTGTGCTTCTATGTGTTCCTTGTCAGTAAAGAAAGCATTTATAATGTCAAATACATCAATTAAGTTGTTGACACAGTCAAGAATATTCCTCGTAGTGAAACACACAACATATTGTTATGCAATTTTGCTACTTAAACTAACTATAATGCCTCATAAACAAACAAATATTGAATCATTTAGAATGAGAAAGCATAGCGTATTTTTGTAGAGATATTTTCATATGTTTTCGTGTTCGAAACTTTATAATTCTTTGAACGCCATCATAAAGAATTGAATCGGTACTTTCGTCAGTTGTATAAGTCATATATAATAATTATAAAATTGTTTGAGAAGCCTCTATTCAAAGTTTAGTGTCATGAGAAAATTTATTTATCAATGCTTACCAGCAGCTATTTAAATAAATATTTAACCCGAAGATTCAAAATAAAAAATATATTGTGTCAAAAGACAAGAATAACCACAAAACAAACAAAACAAAACAACAAACAACAAACAAACAAAAAAGAAAGGAAAAGAAAACAAACAAATCAATGTTCACATAGGCTGGCTGCCTGTTTCTTTTTCTTCAGGGTCCCGCTGTAGCCAGGGTTAATTACAAAAAAATTTGTAAAATCAAATACCATCAAACCCAATGAATGTTTTTTTTTCAAAAAATCGAATAAAAATTAACTTTCAATTTTAGACCCCTTTTAAACACCCTGTCGGGAAAGCGGGGGTTTATAAGATACAGCAAAAAACCCTTTTTTACACAAACCGTTTTTGGGTTGTTTTTTTTTGTAAAAAATTTAAAAAAAATTTTTTAAAAAAAAAACCCATTTAAACATATAGGGGCCCCCCCCTTTTATACAAAAATATAAAAAAACGCAAAAAAAGAGCACATAATGGCTTTTGCCCTTTTGGGTTTTTAAAAATTTTTAATTTTAAAAATAAATCCCAAATGAAATTTCCCAAAGTTCAAAAAGGTTTTTACAACACAAAAAAGACCAAAATGTAGAATTTGATTTTTTTTGGGTTTAACTCACCTACTTTTTTCCAAAAATTGGGAGCATTAACAAAAAATTCATAATAATAGATATAATTAATATATGTAAAAGGGACAGATACTCTTATCTACTCGCATTAAATGAGATTCCCCTAGATGAAAAAGCGGTTATCACTAAAAAACAAAATATAGGGGGAAAGACCATGGTAGCCGCTTAAAATCGGATGCAAAATGTTCTTTAAAGCTGAAAACCATTTGTTCCCTTTTCATTTATTAAAGCAGACCAGGCTAAATAAGCAGTATTTTTCAACAAATTTTACTTTCCTAAATAGTAGAAAACAAAAAACAGATCTATTTCGTTAAATTAAAGGCGGACGAAATAAGAAAAGAGAAATTAGGTCAAGATATAAACCAGTTAAAGGTTAACAACAAGATTAATGGCAGTCAGCCTCATTTTAAAACAGCGATTGCAAATTTATAAATATAATTAAAATTGCTAAATAATTAAATTTTTTTTTTATTTTAAAGCCCAATTAATAGATATATCGATTTAACAATTTATAATAGATATAAATTGCTAAAGCTGAGCTACATTAATAGCG